TTTTTTTTTTTTTTTTTTTTTTTTTTGCCGGCCAACTGCCAAGAGGGTGATAAGAGCACCAGTCCGTTTTGCTGCGTCTCTCTCTCCTGTGTGACCAACCGAGAGGTCACACAGGGGTTACCGCTGCCGCACAGGCGCTTGGAATCCGAGAGGGGTTACCGCTGACGCACAGCATCCCTCAGGCTTTTGCTTGTGTGATGATCAGGAGGGATTGCAGAATTTGCAGTGGCAGACTCAGTGTCACTCACCCTTTGAATGTCTAAAAGAAATATGTGTCGAGAATCCTCGGAATCGTTTTCAGCCAGATTCAGCAACACGGAAAGTCCTACCGTCTTCAACGGATTAGTACGGCGTACAGTGAGTGTCATGGTTGCTGTAACACTGTAAGAGTATCTACTAGAGTAGAAGATGCCCCAAATACAGTTATTATAATGACCATCTGTTGTATAACTCGTATTCAGGTGAAGACGGTAGTGTGAGTATGCCCTGAAAAGGCACCTTGGGACTGCAATATTCTCGCAGCAGTGTTTCAATGTAACAGTTTCTGTCTTCTAAACTATGCCCGTAGACAGCATGCCAATCATTTTTGCAGATGGCTGTCAGTCGTCTCGAATTCGTAAACTACAGTGGTGGCTCACAACTGACGGCCGAACACGGTTTGACTGCTAATCTTCAAACACAATCAGTTTGAGGCTTTGAGCAGATGAATCAAATTTCACTCCACTGAGTCCACTCCACTCGGGACCCGCGGTTTGGAGGGGGAGAGCCCGGAGAGGCACACACGTGCATTCTAGTCCTGTTGAGCCACAAGACGAGAAGAAGACGACGAAGCCTAGTACATGGATTTCACCACAGACAGTCAACCAGCAGTTGTAGAGAGAAGAGAATCAGACAGCTGATGAGCTGAGAGGAGCTGACTGGCTCGAACAAAAGGTCCTGGCGTGACGTGGAGTCTACTTTCAAAGAATAGGATAAATTGTATACCAGGTTAGCAAAAGGTAGGAGGAAAATAGTGCAGGCTAACTAAGGCAGGGGTGAAGGAGGGTACATCCTTCCTGATGGAAGTAATCAATGTCGTCCTTCGGGCCTCCACACCAGGAGGGGGAGGAGCGTGAGAGTGTTCTCAATGTGTTTTCTTTTGACTTGCCGGTGGAATAGGAACCGGACTGACGCTCCCCAGAATGGAAAAGGAGCCAGAACCATAAGGTTCTGTTTTGAAGAAGAAAAAAAAAAAGAAAAAAAAAGAAGAAGAAGAAGAAGAAGAGAAGAAGAAGACGACGAAGAAGAAGAAGGTGGAAGACGAGGACGAGGACGAGGAACAGGAGGAGGAGGATGAGGAGGAACAGGAGGTGGCGACAGAGGAGGAGGAGGAGGAGGAGGAGGAGGAGGAGCCTAGGAGGAGGACTTGGAGGAGAAGAAGGACGGATGGAAGAAGGGTAAGATCTTGAAGTTGAAGCCTTTGACTGGAATTATATAGCTTGTCTACTGATTTCAGTACATGGGTCTTTCTGCTGTCGTTCTGTGCATTACTCAAAACTCCTGCTCTACGCAGAATGAGGCAGGTGCGGGAGATGGTGGGGGAGCGAGCTCTGTGCATCATATTGTTGCTCTCATTGAGAACCGCGCTCGGGAGGTGGGAATCGCAGCCCTGGACTTGAGAACAGCCTCTTTGAGTCTTTGTCAGTTCATAGAAACCAGCCGCTCTTATCAACCTACGATGGCATTGTTGCAGTACTACGCACCCACTGTGATTATCACTGTCAAAACTGCTTCCGCAGGACCTGGTCTTGTATGTGCGGATTCTGCAGCCGCAGCAGCCGCGCCCCCCGCTTTGTCCGACCTAAACTGGCAGATGAAGGCGAGTCAACTAGTGGACCACGGTTGTTTCTCCCAAGCGAGGAAGGAGAGACTGGCAAGGGTGTGTTTTGATGACTCCAGAGGGTTGACTTTCGTAAAGAACTATGCGAACAGAGTCTCCAGCTCAGTCAATCTGGATGGTCAGCATGCGAAACAGTACTATCTGAGTTATGGTGCTGCAGCTGCTATCTTCAAGTGGGTGGACTCAGAATTGGAGGTGGTGGTGATGCATAACTCTCTTAAGGTGTCGGTCTTTAGTCCCTCGTCTTGCTTGTCCATCGATGCGACAAGCGCTCAGAACTTGGAACTGGTGCAGCCGCTGGCATCTGCTTCGGCACGGGATTGCAAGCCGGGGGTTGGCGCAAAGGTGGGCGGTGTGGGTTCTGTGTTTAGCGTTCTGAAAAACACGAGGACCACCGGAGGGACGCGACTCCTTCGCGCGAGCCTTCTCCAACCCCTCAGAGCCAAAGCCACCCTCAAGTCCCGACTCGATTGCATTGACGAGCTTACCGTTCAAGAGTCGATGTTCTTCGCACTTCAGCGCATACTGCAGAAATTCCCTAAGGATGTTGACCGAGTCGCTGCGCTTTTCGCATTCAAATCGAGGAAGTTTGTGGGAGTGGCTGCCGCATCTTCCTCTTCATGTCGTCAGTCCAGAAGCATGGGGGGGAAGGTATCCTCCCTCATCTCTGCCATCATCATGCTGCATGACGCCTTGGCCCTTCTGCCTGAGCTCGGCGATTCACTCCGTGGTGCGAAAAGCTCTCTCCTGCAGGAAGTTTTCTCCGATGTCTGTTCGAACCCCGAAGCGGAGGCTCTTCGTGCACAGATTTGTCTTGTTCTTTCTCCGGATGTGTTGTTGGGACACGGCTCTGCAATCGCGAAGCGCAATCCTTGCCTTGTCGTGAATGCCGGTGTCGATGGGTTGTTGGACGTTGCTCGTCATGCGCTCGACACCACAACGGAAGCGATATTTGCGCTTGGGAAGCGATACAGTGACAATCTGAACCTTCCCGGCTTGAAACTGCCCTTGAGTGTCAGCAGGGGCTTCTACTTGAGCATCCCCATCGCCGATCTGCAGGACGGGTCCCGCGATCTTCCGCCTGAGTTCATCCAAGTCACTACAAGCCGGAAAATGATCAATTGCTCGAGCCAGGAACTCATTTCGCTCAATGAGAGGAGGGGGGACTTCTTCACCCAATGCTGCCGACAGACGGAACGTGCTCTTGAAGAGCTGTGTGACGTTGTCCGTGGGTCCTTGGGGTTTCTCCAGGCTCTGTCGGAATCGATTTCCTTGCTGGATATGATGGTTAACGCTTTTGCTCATCTTGCTAATGCCGCTGATGAGAATGCACCCTACACAAGACCGGAGTTTAATGACGATGCTAAGATCGTTATCGAAGCAGGCAGACATCCTGTGACCGAACGGGTCACTCCGGGCGCCGCTTTTGTGCCGAACAGCATAACGCTGTCGGAGTCAGCGAGCCTGGTTGTTCTTATGGGACCGAATATGAGTGGAAAGAGCACGCTTCTGCGCCAGGTGGCGCTCGCGGCGATCCTAGCGCACATGGGCTGCTTCGTACCCGCTCAAGCTGCCTCCTTTCCGATCCTGGACCGAGTGCTGACCCGCATAGGCACAGGTGATGACATCGAGTCAAACTCCAGCACATTCATGACAGAGATGAGAGAGATGGCATTCATCGGACAGAATGCGACTCCTAGGAGTCTCGTTCTCATCGATGAGCTCGGCAGAGGGACGGCAACAGAGGATGGCTTCGCAATAGCCTTCAGTTCTGCTGAGTTCCTGCTTCAGACGAAAGCGTTCACAATCTTTGCCACGCACATGCCGCGGATGGCAGAACTTGCGCGCCTCTACGCAGAAGCGCGCGTGCTCCACATGGAAGTTGAAGCAGAGAGCAATTACCTCAGGTTCAAACATGTACTTAAGCAGGGTTCAATTCAGTTCGACCACTATGGTCTGCAGCTGGCGAAGACGGCAGGCATTCCTGATTCGGTGATCGAGACGGCAACGGCAATAACACAGAAGCTCGATGAAAAGGAGATGCAAAAGCAGCAGCCTGAGAATGCACAAGGTGGCCGCAGCACATCCGGCTCGGGTTCCGAGTCTCCTCACTTGCAGCAGGCGAAGCAGTACACGGACCTGAAGGAGGATGCGCAAAGAGACATGTGGCTTATGCAGCAATTGACGCAATTGAAACAGACTGCAAATTCTTTGCCTATTGAGCAGGTCCTTCAGTCTATGGAATGCTTGAGAGAGAAGTATCTGGCCTACAACGGCGAGACCGATCTTCATTCCAAGGTGAGGCGGGTCTGACACATCTGTGATAATTTACTTCTTCTTCCTTTTTTCAACAAAAACTTCAAAAAGGGGAAAAAAAAAGACACCCTCAAGAGCCCCAAGTTCCCCCAACATACTAAAAGTAATCACGGATGGTTAGGAACAGTGAGCGTCTGTTTTTTTTTTTTTTTTTTTTTTTTTTTTTTTTTTTTTTGTCTGTGATTACTTTTAGTATGTAGGGGGTGTTTTTTTTTCCTCTTCTAGTTAAATCACCTTAAATGTAAACTTGCGTAATGAATCGGAGGAGGGTATTAAATTTTAAAGGGGGTTGCGGTTGCAGAGAAGGGGAGGAAGGAGGAGGGGAGGGAGGAGGGAGGAGGGAGGAGGGAGGAGAGAGGATAAAAGGGGGAACATTAACCTGAAGCAATAGGAGCTCATGTACAGTAGTCTTGAAGCCGTATACTATGAGTAAATAATGGAGGAAGATATAATGACTTTCATTCCAAAATATCTTCATCTTTTCAAGAAAGTTTGATGAATAATTTCACTAGACAATGTACTAATGTAGACATAGTAAACAAAAAACAAAAAAACTTTAAAAACGATCACTTTTAAGTCATTGTCTAAACAATGCAATTAAGGGACTTGCTATATTTTCATTTCAGACCATTTAGGGCGGCACGCTTGAGATTGAGAATGAACGGGTTCGTCGTATAACACGATTTTAAGTTGCCACCCAGTTATTAATAAGGGTTATTAAGTGCTCAAAGACAAATAAATGGAAATAATATTTGATGCATGGAGCAGACTTGGGTGAGAAGGACAATGGAGGAAACGGACATCATATAAACTTAAAAAAGGTACACCATATCCCAACACTGATGACAGCATTGCTGGCTGTCTTTTTCTTTCTTTTTTATTTGACAAGGGCACCTTTTTTTTTCTTTTTTTTTTGGGGGTGGGTTGGGTTGGGTTTGGGGGGCAACTGTAAATTACAAGAGCTGGAAGAATTGATGGCTTTTCATTTCAAAAGGGATTTCCTTCTCTCTCTCTCTCTCTCTCTCTCTCTCTCTCTCTCTCTCTCTCTCTCNTCTCTCTCTCTCTCTCTCTCTCTCTCTCTCTCACACACACACACACACACACACACACACACACACACACACACACACACACACACGCACACACATCTTATGGAACAAGGGTTTTTGGCGTTAGGCATACAATGCCATGTGGCTCACATGTTTTGCAGCACGCTTTGGTACCATTCCAAAAGGGATTGACAGCAGCTGCAGTAGTCCAAAGACACAGAAACCTTTCCATGAATCTGACTGACTTGTCCCTTCTCCTTCGAGAGACTTGATAAGCCCTGAGGCTCCTGTGGACCTGTGGTCATCACTTGCTCTGCAACTTTGTACGGTTCAGTGAGTTCACCGGTGTACCAACCGAGCTAGGTCAGTTGGGAAGTCTTTTGTCAAATTTGTCTCCTGTTTTAGCCCGCGCTTGCTTTTTTATTTTATCACAATGTCATGGGGTATCCCATAACCTTATTCTATCCAGCCGCACGGTCTGAGCTAACATGGATCTCTTTATCAGCAGTCCTACGTGTGTAGTTCACTGAATCACAGTGACTGTGTACCATTCATCCATTCTGCCCACGTTCGCGGCAATGGCAGGTTTAACCTGAGCTCACCTTTTCCTTGTTCCGCACATTCCCTATTTATTATGGAGCTCTGCTACTTGGACCTCTGAGTCAGTCATTGTCCCCTCTTCATTCTCGCTTAGGCTCGGCTTAGCATCAGTCAACGACTCGACGGTCATCGCTTTGCAACAACTCTCCTTTTCTCTTACATTATGCGAAAAATATTAATTTTGAGTTGCAAGGTTTTTTTCTGTGCACTGGCAATCGCACTGTACTATGGTACAAGACCTCGGACAGAGTAAAACACCCCCCTCTTTTTGTTTTTTCCTTTTCGGTCCGATGGACCACGGATCAGATCTTAAAGACTTAAACTGATCAGAACAGATACTACACGTGATCTATTTTTAGCCAAAAGGCCGAGTAAAGCAACCTCCGGGCCGTCTCAATCATGGACATGAATCATCACGGTTGAGGGAAAATCGAAGGGGGAAAAAAAAAAAAAAAAAAAAAATCGTCATCATGATGGTGAATTGCTTCCCCTCCCACTAAAATTGAGTGACTACTGACCAACTACTGCAGGCATTTTTTCCCTCTTTACTCTTTCTTCTGTTCTGACCGACTTCATTATATTGTTAGTCACTGTGAGGTAAACCTCTAACCTGCTGCAAAGTTTAACCCGGTCCAGTCCAGCGTCCCTTGATGGACATTCATATCATTAGACATTGTTTTTCATAACACACACATGACACTGTTTCGCATAACACGGCGAAACACGCACATCGTGACACTCTTTCTCATAACACGCACACTGAGGGAATTGTTTTCCTGCATGCTGTGTGGAGTGGTGCATTTTATGATGATTTTTTTTTTGTTTAATGAGGCGCAGTGCCTGAGGGCCAAGGCTTTATTATCCACGTATACCCCCCGAGGCCGCGGGCCTTACAATTCTACCCAGTCATACAAAGGTCACATAGGGGGATGAAAGGGCCGCGACGCACCACTTGCCAACACCAACATTTTGGATGTATGGGAGTTACTTCCAGTCCAGATACAATAACTTAAAGAATGTTGGCGTTTGGCAAGTGGTGGGGCGAGGCCGATATGCCTCTCCCGACCATGCAACATGCGTCCCCGAGACAAAGGCCAAAGCATGAAGCCAATCCATGACCCAGTGACCAAGGCCAAAGCATGAAGCCAATCCGTGACCAAGGGGGATTTAAAACAAACGGAAACAAACAAACAAAAAAAAAAAAAAAAAAAAAAAAAAAAAAAAAAAAAAGGGAGGAAGGGGAAGACCCAAGGCGAAAAAGGTGGTCCATTAAACCACGAGTTCCTTTTCCTGCTTCAAAAACACGGCGGCATTTTTCGGGGGTCAGGCCCATCAGGTTACCAGACGAAAATGCCCCACGCCGGTTCGGTTTTGTCTTGGGCCGCGGCGCATTTTCAGGCTCGGCCTCAGTAGCTGGGCGAGGAGTGCTGGTGGCAGAAGAGAAAAAGCAAATTCCTAGAATAGCTCCCTGTTGATGACCTTAGCTTTGCCAAAGCACGTGGCGACCATTTCGTCAAAATGGACATTTTTAATTTTTTGAACGAAATTGAAACTGAGTTTTTTGGCCGAAAACTCGTCAAAATTTGCGGTTCCTAAGGGTCCAGCGTTTTACAAACAAACGCTGGACCCCCTGGCTGTACATGGACCTAGCTTGAGGCCAGGCACCTCCAGGCAGGACTGCGTGGAGGTACCTGGTCTCAAGCTACGTCCATGTACAGCCAGGGAGTCCAGCGTTTTACAAACGCCGGACCCTCAGGAACAGCAAATTTTGATGAGTTTTCGGCCAAAAAACTCGGTTTCAATTTCGTTCAAAAAATAAAAGATGTCCATTTTGACGAAATGGCAGTACTAGGTCATTACCACACTGTGAGGGCATAGTAGTCACGCTCAAGACTTTTCCAACTACCAGACTGAGTGACTTCTGGATGTGATTGAGGTCAGGTTCATCCAAGTGTGCCCATAATTGCGGTTAGATGCATTTAGGTAAGTACCAGTGTGAATAGGCCTTGAGTCAACTAAAGGTTTTCACGAGGCAACTGCCTCTCTACTCCTTATGATCATATTTGTCCATCACCGAATCACTCTTCCAACCAGCCTATCAAGCATTGCATGAATAATGTGAGGTCACTTTGATGACGCTAGATGTCACAAAATTCGAAATGCTTTGTTTTTTCTCTCCTCTGAACCATACGTGCAACTTTCATTGCATACAGCTCTCCAAGTAAATCTTACAAGGCCGTATTCCCCAATTAAGATTCAGAACTTCACGTAACTTAGCGCCTTCTCTTCGATCCTTTGATAGGGTCGAGATACCAAGGCATGTCTCTTGTAAACACAAAACACTGCCTCCCTGATGCCTGATGGAAGGTATGTCTCTTCAACTCTCTTGTATCCCAAAAGTGCCAAAACGTACCAATTTTTTGCCTCATGAGTCAAGCATCAAATCTGGGGGTAACCGTTCTGCTTTGCGTACACGCACATGACAGCCATTGGCAGGTAATTTGGGGTTACTATATAGAATTCCAACCTGACGGTTGCTTGGGAGTGTCTTTTCCAGTCACTGATTTTTCCCAATCTTCTGCAGTTTGGTCATTGATTCCAAGCGGGATTTTGTCTGGTTTCGCACTTAAACGTTTACCAAGATCCCTTCCCGCGATCTTGAATACTTGAGCTCTAGTTCCAAGTTTGAATTTTGTTGCGTACATTTTGGCCAGAGAGAGACGTAAAATATTTGTGGTTTAACTTAGTTGCGTTCATTTAAGTAACAAATTGAATTATTTAATAATTGAGCAAAGTTTAACCCAGGAGCTGAGCAATGTTGAAGAGGGTGGTCTGTTGAATTGGTGTAGTAGCCATTATGATAGTAATCATGGGATAGGGAGTGATAAGTGTTGAGGGCACTGGGGATGTAGTGGGGAGGGAACCTCGGCAGTGTGGATGTCTAAGGGTCAGTCAGCGGTTACGGGCAATTTCTTCAGGAGAGCAGTTAGTCAACCATTCAGTTTAGTTATACTCCAGAGCATGAAGGAGGTCAGGCTTATGTCGTGGAGCGGAGATGGGTACCATATATCAATGGGATGAGATCCAATTTCTTCGTCGAGTCTTCAAGTTTTTGCCACTACTAGGCTGATGCTTAAAGTGTCGGGATATGATTTGGGATTGATATTCTCCTCAATCTATCCCTGCTTTTGGGACCATAACTGATTCAGGTACCGGTACCCTGGCTTTTGGGACAACGACTATTCAAGTAGCGGTATGAACATCAGGACTGTGATAACCAGGGTGACTGGATTCACATGTATGAGTTTTTCATACAATCGCTCGATCCAAATGTACTCTACTGGTTATGCGCACACAATTTACAGGTTGTACAAGTTTTTTCAATCTTTGCGATGTATAGGTTA